ACGAACTAGCATATGAAGCAAATCAAGATAAGTAGCCACTGAAAGAAGAACAGAGCATTCCCTAGGACTTGCTTCTCTTTCGTGATGCTCTGGGCCTACTTCTTGCTAACTTAGAAAATGAGACTTGAAGGCTTCATTCACATCATCCAGCCTAGCTAAGCCTTTGGACAAAAGAGACCTCCACATAAATGGCAAGTTTGCTGGGGACTAGGGCATTATTCTTACATTGGCTCCTCCACCTTAAGCTTCGTGATCCTTAAGTCACCTTGCCGCAATAAACAAGAGAAGAAAAAGATATGAACGTTTTCTCTTTCTTTTTCTTTTGTTGGTTATCTACTCTACAAAACAACCATAATAAAGATTACTGACATGTTCTTCTTGTTTCTGTCTTAGATCTCCATTCTCAAGCAAAACAAGATCTTGTGAGAGTGCCATGGGGCTTAGGCAAACAGAGCATCCATACCACTGAGGTGTTGGAAACCACCGAACAAACTTCGGACCAATTGCTGACCGAAGTGACTTGGGGGCAAGGGCGGAATAAGAAATTTTTTAACGGGTGAGCTAGCTAAAGTTATTAGCCTAAAATCTAATGTACAATTTTTTTTTTACTTACACTTTCTATAGTTTTTTTCGAAATAAAAGTACACATTAAATCATATAAACCATGCACATGAGGTGACATCACAGTGGAAAAGTGGGCCAAACTCTCCCCCTAGCCCCCAAGTGCACCAGGGTTCGATATTCATGTAGGAGACAATCTTGAGTTAACCCAATATAATACTCTCCCTCCCTAACGAATAACAAAAATAAATCATATAAACCACGCTAGTTCATAGTTCTAATGACTAAAGTTATCAGCCATCAAATCCAATTTCGATACATATTATTTGACATCTCCATTGGAGATGCTCTTAAGTGAGCAAACAAATTAAATATAAGATGATTATAAGCCTATAGGTTGAGTGGACAATGGGTTATTAGGCTATATTTGGGTGGACTACTAATATTTTATAAAGTGAAATCACATTAAAACACATAATATGTTTTAATATTTTTCAAAGGCTACCTGGGCTAGCCTTGTTGCTAGTTTCGCCCATGCTTGGGGACTTCATGCCAAGAAAAATTTCGAAAAGAAAAAGAAAAGGAAGATCAAAGACCCGTCCCCATCTGTCGCAGCTCAGTGGTGCAAAAATGGTGACGAGAAGACAGAACCTCTCTCATCTATTTCACAATCCGGATCATCAAGTTTCAAACTGGCAACGTGTCGCAAACCAAGTCTCATGCCCGTCTCCATTGGCGGACCCAATGAAGGACAACTGTGGGCACTTGCCCACACTTACAAAAAAGTTGCAACTGTATAATCCCACCCAAACTCATATTTTTTAATTTTTTTTAGGTCTTTCTTAGGTGGAGCCCCCCACATGGCCCATCCAATACATACATGCACTTTAAACTTAAAGTTTATATTAAAAAAGAAAAACCCTATGTTATAAAAGAAGAATAAAGATCCCACCAAGTACACATCATTATCCACACGATTGCTGA